CATCAAAACATGAAAACCATAGGAAGAGTAAAAAAGGTTTCTGACCAATGGTCTTATAAACTTCCTAAGCATCAAATACCAGCACATCCCTAAACTTAAAAGTCCGTCATGATTAAGCATAAAAACCAGGTTAACAGAACTTGGAGATTACTTTGCTTCTGAAAAGTTTGAGCTGAAGTAACTTGTAGTTATTATATGAGAAGTTATAACTATTGCCAACAGTTCACGCATTCTAAATTATAGGCTCAAGTAATAGGACCAGAATCAATTCATCCAATCAGCCCCTAGCATTAGTATGGCACCAGGTAATGGCCCCCAGTAATAACTAAAGTACTAAATCATGTCATATGCGACTTGGGTTCACATTCAAGATGCAGGAAGATTTCTAAAGGTTATGTTTATGATAGCAAGAAGCTGGAAAAGCAACTCAGTTAAAATATTGATTAATACTGCTGCCTGCAAGTAGAGATTATATTTTGACATTTATATTAGCAATTTATTCTGATAAAGCATCCAACAAACAAACCAAATAACGTGATTGGGCCATTTAACCAATTGACAGTACAAGATTCCCATAAAACTCAATACTAAAAAGTGAAAACCCTTCAAATAACCATGGCTATATGAGAAGCCTAATGACCCATACAATCACATCAAGGAAGAATGGGCACAAATCCTTTACTAAAGAAACTCATTTCTACAAGTAAATGTTTTTGCTGCTTTTGTGAGCATAGATTATTAATCCTTACTAAAGGAGCATGATAAATGTGACTAAGAATTCTACTTCTAGAAACCAACACATAGAGATAAAATAAGTACAAAACATTGCTTACAGAATTAAGGAGTATATGCAAGTTACCTTTCTACCTTCATTCAGTTTCTGCCTAACTATTTGGCCCAACGTTGGCTGTAAAAGAAGGGGGAAAAGAGATGAATTGCAAACAAACAAATCTAATTGAGAATGATAAACATGTCAAACAGTTCTAGAAAGAGGCGAATTCAATCATTCATACCTTCACTGGCTGGAAAAACTCATCAACAGCAGTTTGTGCTCTTAAATCCTCTGAAGATGAATTAACTCCAGAAGGCATCAACGTTATATTTGACTGGGTACTGATAGCAGTGGTACTAGTTGTAGGAGCTTGATGCTTTGGTTGTCTTCTTGGAGGCGGTGAAGGTGATCTCATCAACCTATAGGTAAAGATAAATGCAACAGCAAGCCCTGCAATAGCCCCAACAGATCGTGGATCCTGATGCAGTAGGGATGCGGTAAGAATAATACATTATTATTGGAAACATTTCAGTTACATTCCTGATGGCTAAGCAGCCCACTCACCCATCCATCCACCATTAATACAAATCATTGCTAATACAAGGGGTTTGTTTGAGGTTTCTTTGCCTCAATATAGCATTTACACACTGGAGCTCAAAAGTCAAATAGGTAAAAAAATACCATATGAGACGAATTAACACCATTTCCAGTAACAATTTATCATATAGCATACCAGTGAGAGAATTGATCTTAGATATTAAATTTAAAGCTTCAATAAGTTTAATTTCCCACCCAAAATCCTTAGCATGAGGAGATTACATCAATTACCAAATCAACATTCCGCTATGATCACGAATTAACGGCTTAACGCCTCAATTATAACTAAAAAATAAGGGGAAAATAAAATGAAATTTCGCATTTCAACCACAAGGAGGAGCCTCAGATCCGCTGAAGAAGAAAAACGATAGGAGAAATTATGAGAGAAAGAAAAAGAACCAGCTTTTGGAGACAGATCGAGAAGAGACTGGACATCTTGAGGGCGAGATAGGTTCCGAGGCGCTTGATGAGCTGAATCAGCTCGTCCTTGGACGGCGATAAAGACGACGACGGGTCAGCCATAACCGCTCAATTGATAAAACAACGTGGCGGTTAATCGAGTAAAGCGTTCCCTGTTGTTGGAGTATGATAGGAAGCGACATTCTCAGGTCCTCGCCATTTGATTAAACCACCCCTCAAAGATACAGTTTTCTCTCTGTAAAGCCTTTCTTCTTTTGCGTCAACGATCGATGGGTAAAGAGGAGTTTCAACTTTCAATTTCCCCTCTTCTTAGTTCTTCGTTTGTGTTTTTTTTTTTGGGGGGTGGGGGGTTTCACTTTATTTTATTTTCGGTTATAAAATTAACATTAGATTGCAGTTAATAAAAGGGTTAATATTTAAATAAATGTCTAAATTATATTTTTTTTTACTCGAATAGATGTTTATAGTAATTTTTAGATCATTTAGATATTTAACGTTATAAACGTGATCATTTTAAGTGTTTGTGATGTGACGGTGTTACAATCTGATAATTTTGAAATTTATTTTTTAAATATTAAAAATATTATTATATTTATAAAAAAACCTTTAATTTCTTTTAAATTACAAAAAAAAAAACCTTAAAATCCCTAAAATCCCCAAATCCTAACACTAACCCGCCATCGTTGCCCTTTCCGACCACAACTACCATCGTCGACGTAGTCTTTGTCATCATAGTTATATGTCTTTGTAGTTGTCGTCGATTGGCCATCTAAATCGAGTAGGATCTCGATTTTCATTATAGGGTTCACAGGGTATAAAACGTTAATTCGTCGTCAATCTGTCACGATTTCATAAGGGTTTTGGTCGAAGGGGGAGGTGAAGTCGGGTGGAGCTTCGTCAACGGTAAAAGGTGGCAAGCGGCATGATTTAGAGGTTGAAATGAAGATTTTCAAAGTTTTAGGGTTATTTTAAAATTTATGTTCTTTTTAAAAAATATATAATTTTGTATAAAAATTTTATATAAAAATTTTAAAATTATCATATTGACACGCGTGTTACTTAGCTGAGAAAATTAATGTCGTTGACGGTCCGGACACCTAAAGTGGTAACGTTTGTAATGTTAGACACCTGGATGAGGCAAAAAAATATTATAGGCACTTATTCAAGAAAAATAATATAGTTTGAGCACTTATTTAGATATTAAACCTTAATAAAAGGGAAAGTAGAAAGGCAAAATAAACAAAATTATCATTTTACATTCTTAGAGATGAATAAAAAGCGCACAAATTAAGTTATTTCAGTGGTTTAAATGATGATTGTTATTTTTGAAGATCTTAAGTTTAAGGATTATAAATTATAAAAATATTTGAACTTTCATTGTTAAATGATTTAAAGATTTTAAAATAAATATTACTTATAATCATCATAGATTAGTCATAAAGAAGTGAATAAAAAACAATCATTTTAAATTGATAAAAATTAATTTATAATTTACTTTTGTTTACAAAAACATATTAAATAATTATCTAAGACTTAATGTTATTATTGGTATAATATAGACAAATATATTTAAATAATTTAAATATTATATTCAAATTATATTAATAAAATAATTTAAATGTTTAATTACTATATTTATTATAAATGTAAGATGTATGTCTTAGAATTTAGAGTTATTTGATTATTATTATTTTTTTTGAACGGAGAAGAAGGCCAAAGGTTGGTTTAATAAAGTCTTACACGATGTTATGGAGGAGTTTCAAATAGTTACAGAGAACCATCTAGGGGAGAGCTACTTTTGGTGAGGAAGTCGACTGAGAAGTTTGCTTCCTTCTTGATTAGTAAGAGATGGGTAGTTATTATGTACGGTAGTATTAATATATGGTTAAGTAAAAGTCTCATATAAAAAAACTATTTTTTATCAAATGTTTTTAGTATTTTTATTTAATTTTTAAATAATTAATTAATCATTACATTGTCCGGTTGTTCCGACTAATATGACCGATTCGACCGGTTGAACTAGTGAACCGGTAGCACGGTCGGTTTGCTGACCGATCCGGTTCTAAAAACCATGCCCCTTTATTCTCGATTCAAAATAATAATTAATAAATTAATTTGATTTCATACTTTTTAATAATTTATATAATCTAAACAAAATAAATAAATAAAATTTATTTTAAAAATTATTAGTACTTATTTGGTTTTTTATTCTTTATATTAAAATTGTATTATTATCAAGTTATTTAAAAACTTATCAACAACTCACATAATAATGATTTTTTTCTTTACAGTAATACTCACGTAATAAAAATTAAACATTTTGGTATAACCTTAAATTATTTTAGATGAACAACATATTTGAATAAAACTCTCAACGGGAAATGAGATTACAAGAATATTATAACATGCAATAAGACAAATGTAAAATTTTATATTAAAAAATTTTATGTTATAAGGTGAATTTATAAAATTTTAAAAGATGATAAATTATAAAATTTTAAGAGAGGAAAAAAATAGAAGTTATTTAAAATATATAAAAATTTAACAATTTTAAGAAACAATTAGCCTCAATAACTTCCCTTCTATTCATCCATGATTAAAAGAGTAAAATTATAACAAAATTTCAACAAGCAAGTAAAATAATTAACCATATCAATTGTTTGGCTTAAGTTAATAAACAAATTCAGGAAAATAGTGTAAGGCTAAGTATGCAGTGCACAGTTAGACAGATCTCTCCTACTTTGTTTGGTTTAAGTTAAGAAATTAATGTGAAAATCATAATCATAACAATTGTTATCACTTTTAAAAACTTAAGGGTCAAAACTTAAATTTAATAATTTTTTAATATGTTTCATCAATAATTTTACAAAGAAATAAAAGGGACTAAAATTTTTTCAAAATTAGTAACTGAAATAGAACATACTAGAATAAAAGGGACCATCCGTGTAATTGGTCTTTTGATAGTTATCAAACTAATAATTAATTGTAAAATAAACAAATTAAAAGAAGAAATCAACATTTTCAAATAAAAAATAATACAAATATAAAATATAAAGATTAAATTTTAAATTTCACAATAGTATAGTGACCTTTGATACATTTACACCAAATAAAATCCTATCTTCTCTCTAAACAAAGACAGACAACGTTTCAGATTTGCAGGCTTTTCAATATCAGTCAGTTTCTGTTTATAGTACAAGAAGAACAGAAAATGAAGATATGTTACGTGGGGAAAGCAACAAAGATCTTCACCTTCATAGCGACAGTGTTGGGGATCTTGGGCCTTGTCTTGGGACTCGGGCTGTTTCGTCACGGCCTCCGAAAGCCGCACAAATGCTCCGGCGACTCTTGCCCTTCTTCATCCATCGTCTTTCCCTCTTCCTTTAATACGCCACCACCTCCTCCTCCTCCCGTCAATGGGACCTTTAACCAGCCGCCGTCTCCTGCATCCAGCCCACCAACTGCCGATCCTACCGCTACTGCTTCACCTTCTCCTCCCCCGCCACAATTCCCTCCACCTCCTGCTTCAACCGCGGTGTTGGCGCCGCCGCCCAACAATCATCCCAGTCCGGTAATGGTGGCTCCAGGTCCTGTGCATGCTTAGATTAGCTGGTTAGTTTCCATTTTTCAAAAAAAAAATTATTATACTGTTAAGTGGTGGGTTGATGATCCGATTTAGATTTTAATTTATTTTATTATAGATGTTATCTTCAAATTTAAAATTTTTAAAAATAATAATAATTTTTTAATTACTAAAATCGTATAAATACATTTTTCTTTATGTACAGTCAAACAAAGTATTTTTCATCTGCTATCTGTAATGGTGGGTTTTTGGCTACCCAAACACGCCCTAGTTACGTTGGATTCCAATTCCCAAACGAACATAGTTTGGGTGGTGGGTGGGCTGCCTTGTTGGTTGAAAGAATTTATGGTGGTTCTATTAATCACTGGAAACGTATATATTAAGTTAGATAAGGCCTTGTGGGACTCGATTCCATTAGTCTCTTAAGTCCTTAAAGGCTGGCCTTCGTGGTTTCGTGATTCCCGGGCCATGGGTGAACGTGGAACCATTTAACTGCTTTATATACAGCTCTATGCGCCAACAACATGAGGGGGAGATGAGTTTAATGATTAACCACTGGTTAAACAGATACCCACCATTCATATTTGCAACAAAATTATCTTCCACGTTTGTCTTCACTTTCTCCTCTCCCAACTCACCACAACGCATTTTTCCATACCAGACAGCAAACCTCAGTGTTTTTGGAGGCAAATGAGAGAACAACAAAAATTTTGGGGCACAAACGAAAAAGTGAAGGGCACTTTCGAGTGAAACAATTTGGAAGAGGAACTGCTGGTCTTCAGTTCAGCAAAGAGTCCAACAATTTGTACAATCTCAACTCCGACAAACATCCTGGGTTGGCAAACAAGAAAATAATCACCATTCAAAGTGGGGGCAAAGATCAGTCTGTGCTGCAAGCAACAACCAAGACTAAGAGGCAGAACAAACCTTCCATCTTGTTTCAAGAGTCTGTCATGAAAAAAGAGTTCCCCAGGATGGTCAAAGCAGTCAAAAACCATGTGAAAGACAACTACTACAGGCCTTATCTAACTAAAGTAGCCCTCACAAGGTTGAGTGACGTGCACAGGATTCTGAAGGTAGATAAGTCTGGTGTCAAGAAGAGGAACAGGCAAGCACTGAAGGTTCGTGGCAGGAAGTGAGCTAGACAGACGTTTCAAGTTGTATGTGCTCTTCTATTTTCATTGTACCAGACAACTTTTACCACCTTTTTGAAATTGTCTTTTTTTATTATTTTTGTTCCATGGAATTCTCTTATTTTCATTGCTGGTTTTTAGAATTTTACATCTATATTATTTTCGGACTGAATGAATACATGAACTATCATAAATTAAAATGGAACCTCCTGTTTCGATTCGGCTTGAGAATGTTCTTTGCTACATATGTTGGCTGCGTTTTGTTTGGATTAATGTTAACTTCACTTGCTACTAGTGGGGTTCTGATGAGGTATTTGGTGGAGGAAACCATTAAGAAATTAATTAGGAAAGGCATGATTGGAATCAGTTTTGTGCCAGTATTATGCGGTTCACCCTTTAAAAATAAGGGAGTTCAGCCATTACTTGATGTTGTTTTGGACTACTAACCAAACCCACGTGTATTTGGGTTTTATTTTTTTTAAATTTTATTTTATTATTCTTTTTTCCTTGTTTATATCATTTGTTCCTTTCTACCACATTTATTTATCTTTATTTCTGTTTATTATTATTTTTATTATTGTATATATGTTTTTACTTTCTTTTATATATATATATTATTTTCACTAACATTTTTTCGACATTTTCAGTAGGTAATTTCAATCGATCAAAGGTAAGCAATTCGAATCAAATTTTTAAATTTTAATTTTCGCAATTAAAGACAACCGGCAAATTAATTGATACCGAAAGGGCGGTTCAAGGATGCTAATCCTTCATTGACCGTAACCGACTCCCGGACCCGACACATTTCTGGTAAAAGGCAGATCAGGTAAGATGGTGTCCGATCAGCCTAAAATTCGTTTTAAAATGATCGGTGGCGACTCTCACCCAATTATTCAAGTCGAAGTCTAATTTCAGGCCCAACCGAAAGACGACACCGACAATTATCTTATGTTAACATATCAATACTATCGTTAAATTTTTAACTGCAGTATACCAAAATGAAATATAAATTAAATGGAAAGTATGATTTTGAAAAATAATTTAAGTACCAAAATAGAATAAAAATAATAGTTTAGACACTGAATAAGTAATTTGCCCAATTTTTAATTGTGCGTTTACGTGAAATTTGAACTTTTTAGAGATTTTAAAAGTATTATCGATATATTCCGAATATTTTGAATTTGATGAGTTTAAAATTATTTTTTAAAAGAATAAATAGTCTAAAAAGTATACAATACTAATATAACTGGGAAATTAAAAACAATGGAATAATATAATAGCAAAGATCTTTTTATTTTTATTTCAAAGAAAAAAGGGACCGAGGAAATATGTTTTTCTATCCAAATATATCCAATTTAAAAATGTTTTTATAATCAGACACTATTTTAGGTTACTTTTCAGTTAATATCCTTTTCTGTTAGGCAAGTTAAAGGTGTATTATGTGAAAATTGACTTTGAAAGCGTACCTTTTAGGATGAACATTTTATTAATAATGTAACAGAAAAACATATATATGTTGAGTTGAAATGAAAGAAAAATGGGGACCAAAGAATCTAAAAGTCTTATACGAGTTTTGTTACAAAAAAGTGTTTATCGAAGACACGTAATTATAGGAGCACAACTCGAACGGTTATACGCATATAATAATCTTAAGTTTAATCACTCAAAAAAATATATATTTAAAAAATTATATTTATTTAATTTTTATAAGTCTAATCAAATTTAGTATGTCTTTGACACTTTGAAATCGCACGTGTTTGGTCATGAGTCTCTCAAAACATTGTTTAGACATTACATTTTTCTAAATGTTTTAACATAGACATTCAAACATGCACTAATCGTGTAATTGAATATAATGTATATACAGGTATCGCCGTCACTTAGCACGTGCAAATATCTGTATTTGACACGTACGTAAAACGTTTATTATGTTTGGACATAATTTCGTATATTTTAAATGTATTTTTGGTCATTTTATTTTTTTTATTTAATCTGATCTCTAAAAGCTCTGATTGACTTCTGTCACATAACTAAAAAGTATTTTATATTAACAATACTTTTTTCTAGAACGCATGACATATAAATTCAAAAATTATTTTATAACAAGTGTTAATTAAAAATTTATTTTTCAAAATGAATTTAAGTAAAAGAATTATTTTTGTATCATTTGATATTAGATTATGCTCATTTTGAGTTTTATAAGCATGACGAGTTTAACGAAGATGCACACAAACAAGGCAACCTCCTATCTTAGTTAACACAGATTGTCCATACCATAGACAATTGTAGACACTCATTTTCGTCCGTATTTAGTTTATTTTATTTTACTTTATACATATATATATATATATATATATATATCTATACATATATATTATATAGTTCGCAAAATGGTTTTTGAAAAATACATATAATATAGTTTTAAAACGTTTTGAAAACTATAACATACAATTTGAAACATTTTAAAATTATATAATATATGATTTTGGAAATATCTTTGAAATATATATTATATATAGTTTTAAAACGATTTTTTTTATATATATCATATCATATTATTTTGTTTTATTCTTTTTATTTTTTATTTATTTAATCGTTTTTTTGGTGTTTGTCCATATCCAAGAATTCAGTCCAGTGCACAGGTCAGTTGGGTCTGACCCAGCCCGTAACCAACAGCCAAAGCAAGTTAAGGTTTACTCGGTCAAGCATTGCGCCGCACGAGGGAGGAACAAGTCACGCACAGCCAGGCGAGAAAACCGGCCAAGATCTGGTCACGAAGCAACCAGCCCCGGCTAAATCGGGACTGACCCATCCCGTTTTAGCCGGTCAACCCACAACGGCCACCAGCCCCGTATTTCGGAACAGAAAAACGGCCGATGAAGGCCTATAAATACCAAACGGCCAACCCAGTACAGAAGAAAAAAGGGGGAGGAGATCACCAGAACCGGACGAGAGAAACCATACAGAACCAGACGAGAGAAACCACACAGAACCATCACCAAGAGACAAAGGAAACAACACAAGAAGGACATTGCTCAAGAGGTCGTGAAGAAGAGGAGACGTGCCACGAAGAAGCCTTACTCCGGATCAGTTGTTGGTGCCACCTTAGAGGTTATCCAGAAGAAGAGGAGTGAGAAACCCGAAGTTCGTGATGCTGCAAGGGAAGTTGCTCTCCGAGAAATCAAGGAAATAATCGAGAAAACGAGGAAGGAAATGAAAAGGCAGAAGAAAAATGAGATAAAGCAGGAGACAACATGATGAAACACACCCAAAGAGGGGCCCGCGTTTGACATATCTGGCAAATGAATGGAAAAGCAATTTATTTTGGTCTTTTGCGTGAGACTAAACAAAAATCCCATGCTTTTGAACCTTGGCTAAATTCATTATATGATCCTTCATTTATTATGGGTTATTTTTTCTTTCATTCATTTTATTACTTTTAAATTTTTTTCCTTTTAGTTTATTTGATATTTAATTAATATTTCTTATCTAACATTTTTACTTTTTAAGGGAATTTTTTTTCCGATCAAAGGTAAGCAATTCGAAACGAATATTTTAAATTTTAATTTAAATTTCAAATTTTCGATGCTAAGACAACCGATAAATTAATTGGTACCGAAAGGGCGGTTCAAGGGTGCTAATCCTTCCTTGACCGTAACCGACTCCCGATCCCGACATATTTCTGGTAAGACGCAGATCGGGTAAGAAATAGGGTATCCGATCAACCCATTTATTTTTAAATAAATGATCGGTGGCGACTCCAACCCATCAATTCAAGTCGAAGCCCAATTCCGGGGCCCAAACGAAAGACGGTTGCGACAGCTTGGCGGCTCCACTGGGAACAGGTAAGTGAGTCAGGCCAGAATTAATTTTCCGTTGTCTTTTTATGCGAAAATTGTAAATTTAAATTTTAATTTATTTATTCGATTCCAATTATTTACCTTTGATTATTTTTCAAATAAATAGTTGTACTAACGTTTGTTCAATGATTTTAGATTTTTCAAATTTTCATCTTTGGCTTTATACCCGAGCTCCAAACCCTTTTAAGTGGAGGTGAAAGCGACGCATTCGTGTGAATTTATTCACCGCATATGCCTTGCCAGTAGCCTTCGGGATTCATATACCTTATGTCTTCGTGTGAATTTATTCACCGCACAGACATAAGGAAATGTTTCCTCTCGAGTTTAACTTAGTCCACACAAGCTTATAATGGGCTTAGGACTAAGGGTCTGGCAAGCCCAAGGGGGCACCAGCAAGGAGAACTCGAGTACCTTTTTAGAACCTAAACCGGGAGAGTACAGGGAATTAGAGCCTACCCCAAGACTTCATTCCAAACCCTAGGATGCTTTGTTTCCTGCTTTATTTTCTGTTCAAAGCATGCGAACTAGACAAATATGCGGATAGGATTTGTTTGAAATTAGCATGCGGGATAGAGATCATGTCCGGTTAGGGATTAAAACATGCGAGGTAGATATCATGTGGGGTAGGATTTTTAATTTTTTATTGTTTTGATTTACCTCACTAACCCTTTTATTTTTTGTTCTCTTTTATTTTGTGTTCATCGTTTGCATCATTTAAAACGATGTGTTGATCCACCAAAAATGTGTTTGTTAAACATGAATAATCTGCATTAACGGATAAAGGGGTTATAATACAAAGAGATAAAAAACTCAGAAGTCCAACCGTGGTCAAAGAATACTCAAAGGCAAAGTTGCAGGGTCAATACGAGGAAAAGGTCACTGACCCGGTCGCTCCTTTCGGAAACTACAAGAACAAGATGGTGAAACCCTAGCTGAGCTGGATGCCATTGCTGACGAATTCAAGAAGCAAGCTTCGGATAGTTTCTCTCGATGGAGGGCTCCAATGACACTTTCGTTAGAAACAAGCTCGGTAGAGAGTGAAAGTCGGAGATGCAGTCCTTCGAGACCTTTTTTGGGGCAAGCAGCTCATTATTTGCACATTTTAGCCAAAGGAGCCGGAACGGTTTGATAGGGTATTCAACCAGTGACAGACGAAGGCAGAGGATTGATCAACCTATCAGAAGCTGTTCGGGGTCTATGCCTTTAAAATATTTTTGTCTCTTAAGACATAACACTTTTGTCCCAATAAGGATTATTTATAATAACAGGTACATTTTTTGGATCAATGCCTCGAACATTTCATGCATCATGCATTCAGACATATTGTGCATTTTGTTATTTTTCTTTACATTCGTATTATTTTTCCCTTTTTATTACATTCACATGTGTCATAAAAAATGAGAACATTTCAATCCTATGACATATAAGGAGCTTTACCAACAATTGTTTGACGCACACGTGATGTCACCATATCCAGAGAAATCCATGAAACCCCGTACCCCAGGTAGTATGATGAGAACGCTCATTGCGAAAATCATAGCGGAGCCCCAAGGCGCACTATCGAGAATTACTCCACAATAAAGAGAATCATACAGAAAATACGTAACAAGAATCGGATCGACTTCAACAACTTGGGGGCATTCAAGTGAGGAAGATCATTTTATCATTTGAGGGATTCTGTTTGAATCCGTTTTTTCATTACTTCTCAAATTTTTGTAACGAATTTTGAATGAATCACATTTGCAAACTTGCAATTTTTTGAATATCATTTGAATTAAGAAACTCTGTAAATGATTTAAAGTTACAGATCTTTTGACAAAGTAACATGATTTAAAACAAGGACTTTGACCTTACCCAGAATATACCCTCAAACACCGTACCATGCTCTTATAATTAACCAATACAACATTTTCTTTTCATAAGGTGCGGACAACACGGGGCATCATTTGCATATGACAATTACTATGTTTTTTATTTAAGACGTTCAATGATGATAATGATCTTCACAGATGGAATAGTCGAGTAAGTGAATCTAGTTTAGGTCAGTTGCTTGAAAATTGAACTCTAAAGATAAAATGTTTTACTTTCAACAAACACCTAGACTATAACAGGTTCTTCTTGACAATCTTAAGAAATTAAATCCGTAAAACTGAGCTATTCCACTAAGGCAATTGGTTACAGAGGAAACTCGAAAGCCCTGGCTTTATGAATAGATTGTATTCAAACCATGACATTGCTCGGACACTTGGCAATTCGGTGTGTGCTCCACTGCTTTTGTCAGGCCGAAAACTTTGTGATGAGATGAACCCTTCAGTTAAACCGGATAAAAGTGATTATAATGTTAAGCTGTCCCTCTAAAGTAATTGGTTAAACGCCCCAGCTTTATGGATTCAGCTAGCCAGATAACGGTAAATTAAATCGAATTTATCTAAGCATAAAGTTTCGGTAAAATGGTCTAAGGGAGTTAAGGAACACCTGTTATAGTCGACTACACATGAGCACTCAAGAATTTCATTTTTAGACCGATATTTTTTTGCACTGCCTTCGTTAGAGGAGCCTACAAAGCTTGAACAAATGGAAGATTTCAGAGGACTGAAATAAAAGGTCTAGTAATTGATCATGCTAGTTCCATCATTTTGTCCGCACCCAATTAAAATGGCAAACCAAAGAAAAAGCATGTTGCGATATTTTAAAAAATGACATTTTGGGTTACCAAAACCTTAGAAATGAAGTCAACCTAAATCCAACTCATCCATTTGAACATTTGTCAAAGAGCTGTAACTCTGAAAGCATTAAAAGAGCTCTTGATTCCTTTGATATTCTTTGAACTCACGTTTACAATTTGCGAACAATATTTTACAACATTTTTATTATTTTCCGTCCTAAAACAAGAAAAAGGAGAAAAACATTTTCAAACAGAACAATCTCAGATATGAAAGGTCTGTAAAGCCCAATCTTGAAAAGATGATGGGGCACGATCGATTCCATGGACCAGATTGACAGGCCAAACATGAGACTCCATCCAAGAGATAAAACATAACTCATTCATGTTGCATGCATCTTAGACATACTTAAGAGCGTCACATTTATTGTACAGCTTTCAGAGCCAATTTCAACTTCACAACGAAGGATATTGGACTCCAGACAGCGCAAGTTCAACTTCACGACGAAGGGACCGCTGGTTGTCAATAAACAATTTCCTAATTTCAGAGCCAACTTCAACTTCCCAGCGAAGGATATTGGACTCGAGACAACGCAAGTTCAACTTCACGACGAAGGGACCGCTGGTTGTCGATAAACAATTTCAGAGCCAATTTCAACTTCACAGCGAAGGATATTGGACTCCAGACAACGAAAGTTTAACTTCACGACGAAGGGACCGCTGGTTGTCAACAACAACTTCCCAATTTCAGAGCCAATTTCAACTTCACAACGAAGGATATTGGACTCCAGACAACGCAAGTTCAACTTCACGACGAAGGGACCGCTGGTTGTCAACAACAACTTCCCAATTTCAGAGCCAATTTCAACTTCACAGCGAAGGATATTGGACTCAAGACAACGCAAGTTCAACTTCACGACGAAGGGACCGCTGGTTGTCAACAACAACTTCCCAATTTCATAGCCAATTTCAACTTCACAGCGAAGGATATTGGACTCCAGACAACGCAAGTTCAACTTCACGACGAAGGGACCGCTGGTTGTCAACAACAACTTCCCAATTTCAGAACCAATTTCAACTTCACAGCGAAGGATATTGGACTCAAGACAACGCAAGTTCAACTTCACGACGAAGGGACCGCTGGTTGTCAACAAACAATTTCCCAATTTCAGAGCCAATTTCAACTTCACAACGAAGGATATTGGACTCGAGACAACACAAGTTCAACTTCACAACGAAGGGACGACTGGTTGTCAACAAACAATTTCCTAATTTCAGAGCCAATTTTAACTTCACAGCGAAGGATATTGGACTCGAGACAACACAACTTTCATTGGATTTCAACTTCACGACGAAGGATATCCAATTCAAGGCTCAACTCCACGACGGAGGGGCCATCCACGGTTTCAACTTCACGATGAAGGTAAACGTACACACAAGCAGCATTCATCTTTAGATTGGATTTCAACTTCATGACGAAGGATATCCAATTCGAGGCTCAACTTCACAACGAGAGGCCATCCATGGTTTCAATTTCACGACGAAGGGAATCGTGCCAACCAAAGACCTTTGAGTTCGACCACGCTCAGCTCCAAGGCATGTCATTTGCAGCATAGCTTAAGTCGGGAAGGGCTATCTGCCAACGAAGACCTTCTGAGTTCGATTTCATTCAGCTCGAGGGCCTATCAACCATAGGGTGGAGTCAAGAAACTACTTCATAGTCGAATTTTTAAACC